CCTGCCTTTCCCCGAGTCTCTCAGCTTTTGCAGAGAGACTGAGGGGGGGAGGGGGGATTTAAACTTATTTGCATAACTAATTTTAAACAAGCCTGCCCTTTGTCAGGGGGTGTGACACATGCAAATGAGTTATGCAAATGAGCTCCTGCGCCTCTTCTTCTAGGAAATGACCCCTGAAAAGGACCATCACGCAAACACACATGTAAAACATTCTCTGTCATGTAGCAGATTTGTTGGTGAGATCCAGTTCCAGTAAAGTAAATGCCAACAAGTTGGAGTACAGCAAGATACAAGGCCCGAGAAAAACAAAGCAGGGGGCTCTGAAGAGGAATTCCTAGCTAGTTAAAACACATTTTTTTAAATAAAAAAACAGAGCAGAATGAGAAGTTGTGGTGGGATTCTAGATGGGCCTGTTTCACACCAGAGTTCTTTTAGACTTGCCTTCATATCCAGAGTGAATTTTTTCAGTGACAGCAAGGCAGCAGGACTCTGGCTCACTCTGATTCTGATAACAGACATTAACCAAATAAGGGGTGATCCGGCAAGGGCAGTAGCGCTTCTCTTGGTCTTTACCCGCCCTGCAACAGAAACATACTGATTCATAAGCTCCTGGCAACTATCTGGAATTTGCTCCGGACACTGACTGGCTGGTTTTTGGACAAATTGGATCCCCTTCTCTAAATAATGTTTTGTTGGTCAACTTTACTGCTCCATTCCTTCAGAAATGTACCTGACATTAAAAAAAACAATTATACTGCAAATTCAGGAACATGCTGATTCCAAAAACCAGCGGAGGAGTCCTAATATATTTTTTAAAGATTTGCACCCTGTTCTCTCTCAGGAAAATGGCATTGTCAGGAAGAGAACTCACCTTAAAACGTGATGAAAATAACTTGTCCCCTCTACATGGTATTCTAATTTTTAATAATACTCACCTGATTCTGCAGAAAAAGGACTTCACTTGTGCATATTCAAAAACAGATGCTAGAAGAAAACAATACGTGATGATAAAGATAGGCAGTAACTATTTTTTCTCCCCCACAGTGCCCAGCTTGGTATCAAAATTATGACCCTCCCTATCTACTATGAAAACTGAATTTGCTTTCTGAGAAGCACCCAGTTTAAACGATAGGCAGACATGGGTGATACATTCTGAGATCCTTCCCAATTCATAATTCAGTTGCCTTTGAAAGTTTGCAGAATCTGCTGAGTCAAGCTGTATGACTCAACATATGACCACTTGAGGATCATCAAATGCAGATGCACTACAAATGATTTATACCAAGATCACCCAAAACACAACTGAGGTATTCTATAGAACATGAATAGTCTGTCTTCTGCAAAAATTCCACAAATACATAGAGACCAAGGTTGCCACACCTTCTGCTTCTCTTTGCCAAAAGGCTTAAAGGAGCAGCAGAATGGTTGGGCTCTAATTTTTAATTTGCTTCTAACTACAAGACATATTCTGGTACTTGGCTCACATTTCCTCTTCCTGTCTTTCTTGACCTGCCATCCTGGCCTTGACACTAGTAAGGTTAAATCTCTGGCTTTCCCTTCATGCTGTCATATGCCTATGATGCCATACATTTGCTGCTTAAGGGGTCCCATGCTGCCACAAAAGCGTATTCAAAAGGTGGGTTTTGGGTCTCGAAATTCGAAAAGCCACAAACCTAGGCAATAAGGCAGTCCTCTGCAGAAGAAAGGAGACCATAAGCCTGCTAGTTCAGTTGCCCCATTAACAGAGGCGACAGAATCTAAAACTGCACAGCAAGGGATGCTAGCCCTGCAGCCTCAGCACTCCTGCAAAGAGGTCCATTGCACTATAGGCATCCAAGAGAACTCACCTTAAAACGTGATGAAAATAACTTGTCCCCTCTACATGGTATTCTAATTTTTAATAATACTCACCTGATTCTGCAGAAAAAGGACTTCACTTGTGCATATTCAAAAACAGATGCTAGAAGAAAACAATACGTGATGATAAAGATAGGCAGTAACTATTTTTTCTCCCCCACAGTGCCCAGCTTGGTATCAAAATTATGACCCTCCCTATCTACTATGAAAACTGAATTTGCTTTCTGAGAAGCACCCAGTTTAAACGATAGGCAGACATGGGTGATACATTCTGAGATCCTTCCCAATTCATAATTCAGTTGCCTTTGAAAGTTTGCAGAATCTGCTGAGTCAAGCTGTATGACTCAACATATGACCACTTGAGGATCATCAAATGCAGATGCACTACAAATGATTTATACCAAGATCACCCAAAACACAACTGAGGTATTCTATAGAACATGAATAGTCTGTCTTCTGCAAAAATTCCACAAATACATAGAGACCAAGGTTGCCACACCTTCTGCTTCTCTTTGCCAAAAGGCTTAAAGGAGCAGCAGAATGGTTGGGCTCTAATTTTTAATTTGCTTCTAACTACAAGACATATTCTGGTACTTGGCTCACATTTCCTCTTCCTGTCTTTCTTGACCTGCCATCCTGGCCTTGACACTAGTAAGGTTAAATCTCTGGCTTTCCCTTCATGCTGTCATATGCCTATGATGCCATACATTTGCTGCTTAAGGGGTCCCATGCTGCCACAAAAGCGTATTCAAAAGGTGGGTTTTGGGTCTCGAAATTCGAAAAGCCACAAACCTAGGCAATAAGGCAGTCCTCTGCAGAAGAAAGGAGACCATAAGCCTGCTAGTTCAGTTGCCCCATTAACAGAGGCGACAGAATCTAAAACTGCACAGCAAGGGATGCTAGCCCTGCAGCCTCAGCACTCCTGCAACCAAACTTTTTAAACACACACACACACACAGTAAAACATGGAATCGTTACAATATTCCTATAGAATGTTTAAGGGGGAAAAAGAGTTCCCAACTTGGGCAGAAAAACAGAGTAGAAAGGATGAAGCTCAAAGCAGCACGAGAAAATCCTGAGAGATGCTGCAGCAAACGAGGATGGATAGGGAGAACACTGTAAGGAGAGACCTCAGACAAAAGCGAGACCTCTCCATGGGGAGGGATGAGTGCACCAGCTCTAGAAACTGGACTGTGCCAACACAAAACCAACTGGGGGGTTGTCCAGACTCCATAACAAAGAACTGTGGGTAAAACTAGACAAGCTGTTCCTTTTGTGCATTTTATTTTTACTTTATTGATTAAATTTTTTTTTTATATCCCTCTTAATTTGAACACAAGTTTTTCCTATACACATCAAGTTACCTGTTTTGGCTTCCATGTTCCAAAGCGGCAGCACAAACTGACTGGTATGAGTATAGAAGACGCCTACATCCTGAGGAGCCAGCAACTCCGCAAAGCAAGAAGAATCTAAGAGCCTCTTCTTACAACTCAGAATGGAGGCCGCTTGCTCAGAGACATGCACCACTTTCCCAGACACCAAGGAGAAAACAGCTACAAAGGTGTCCTGGAAGAAAGATAGGACTTCAATCAAATGTACTGCAAAGCACAGGAATAGTGCCATAAAGGTACCAAATCCCTAGCTGAGACACAAGAATTCAGTATTTCATGTTACCACAGTAAAACATGGTATCGTTACAATATTCCTATAGAATGTTTAACGGGGAAAAAGAGTTCCCAACTTGGGCAGAAAAACAGAGTAGAAAGGATGAAGCTCAAAGCAGCAAGAGAAAATCCTCAGAGATGCTGCAGCAAACAAACGAGGATGGATAGGGAGAACACTGTAAGGAGAGACCTCAGACAAAAGCGAGACCTCTCCATGGGGAGGGATGAGTGCACCAGCTCTAGAAACTGGACTGTGCCAACACAAAACCAACTGGGGGGTTGTCCAGACTCCATAACAAAGAACTGTGGGTAAAACTAGACAAGCTGTTCCTTTTGTGCATTTTATTTTTACTTTATTGATTAAATTTTTTTTTTATATCCCTCTTAATTTGAACGCAAGTTTTTCCTATACACATCAAGTTACCTGTTTTGGCTTCCATGTTCCAAAGCGGCAGCACAAACTGACTGGTATGAGTATAGAAGACGCCTACATCCTGAGGAGCCAGCAACTCCGCAAAGCAAGAAGAATCTAAGAGCCTCTTCTTACAACTCAGAATGGAGGCCGCTTGCTCAGAGACATGCACCACTTTCCCAGACACCAAGGAGAAAACAGCTACAAAGGTGTCCTGGAAGAAAGATAGGACTTCAATCAAATGTACTGCAAAGCACAGGAATAGTGCCATAAAGGTACCAAATCCCTAGCTGAGACACAAGAATTCAGTATTTCATGTTACACAGGGCCTTGTAAGCCTACAAACCTTTCATTACACTTGTTTCATTACACTATGGAGGAAACAGGCTATTGAAATCTATGCAAAGTATTCCTAATTCTGGACTCTCAGGGATACTGGGCTCTGGAACTACAATATGTAAAACACTCAGAAATTCTCCAGTGAGTCAATTTTTATGTTCTCCTTTTAGAAAATCTTTTTTTGCAGCTGTCAGTTAAGAGGGATCCAAATGTGCCGCACCATCACAAAAAGTATCAATGAATTACTCAACAATATTTTGGCTAAAACACTAAAACTGGAAAATCCAGCAGATGTTCTTCCCTACCTTACACTGCCGGTATATTTGGTCTGAATTGAGAACGAGGGATTTAAGCACCAAGAAACCACCAAAGTGTTCCAGCTTTGGTGATATTTGAAACAGAAAATGCAGAATTAGTGTATTAGCTAAGTAAATAAATGGCTAAAAAACCACAAGTGGCTAGGAGGATGCCTTTCAACATGGTCACATATCCTATGAAGAATCTAAGTGAAGCATTGCCTCCTGCAATTTGTACCCAATACAGAAGAGAAAGAAAATGTTTTTCAAAAGCTACCCACATTTTGCCACTCCTTAAGCTGCAGCAAAACATGATCCTCATACTATTTCATTGTAGAGACAGTCTTGTTTTGGAACTGAGATCAAACATTGCCTTGTGCTTGGTACCCTCAGGCTTGCTTTTGTGAACAGAAAAGAGACACTATTTATACTTCTTTTCCAAGTCCTCCCTAACAGCTAAATTAAGTTTCATTCAGCGACTACACAGCTACTGTATGACCTTTAGCAGGTATGTGCAAAAAAATAATTAAGGGAACTAGAACAGACAGCTGTTATAAAATAATCTGGATCACTTACTGTATTTTTTGGAGTGTGTTCAGATGTAACTGCTGCCAACTCCTCAATGCTGTACACGCTGGCATCTGTCTGATATAATCCACATTCTCCCCAAAACCGAAAAGCCTTGCTGTCTGCCAATTGGAAAAACAAAGGAAGAAAGACATATGAAACAACAAGGTTGGACATTGATTGCGCTGCTCTAACTTTCATCTCTGGATCATCTAAACAGAAAACTCAAAGAACAAGCAACAGGCAGAACAAAGTTTTCTACGCAATGTACCACATATTAAACCTCTTACTACCTTGTGACAAAAGAACAAATGGAGCAGTCTTTGGTGACCCTCAAGCCCTTCCGTTCATACTGACGATACAAGTCTGTGCTCCTACCTGGTGAACATACTTGTCTGATTATGCAGATCAATGGACCAAAAAACATTCTGAAGAAGTTAAGATTAGTTTATGTTGCGCAAATTTTAAATCTCATAGTTTTCCAAAGCACAGTGCATCACTCTCAACCATAATAAAAAAAAATCTGACTAATATTTCTCAGATCTGAAGATAATTCAAGATTTCTTTCAGAGAATGAAAGGCAATCAAAGAAACTCAGATGACCCACACACCTGTCATGCCACCCCAACATAATATATGTGTGTGCAGGGCTTTTTTTGTAGAAAAAGCCCAGCAGGAACTAATTAGCATATTAGGCCACACCCCTGACAGCACAGCTCATTATCATATTAGGCCACACCCCATGCCCTCCCTTGGCTTGCTCAGGCAAGCCCCCCCCCCTTTGATGGGAAGGGAAAGCAGTTTAAACTGCCTTCCCTTGGCTTGCATGGGTGCCCCACGGGTGCGGGGAGCCCGGGCAAGCCGGCCCTCGGACAGGCCGGGGAAGGCATGGGGAGGCATTTAAATGCCTCTCTGATCCAGGCCCCCCTGGCCCACCCACCTCGGAGTCGCTGGGGGGGGGGGTCGCTCTCCAGGCCTTCCCTCTGTAGCCACGCACGCAGAGGTTTTGGCTGTAGTTTTGGCTGTAACTGGCTCTTACATATACAGACCGTTGTAGCTACATGCTACCCACGTACTCTGGACTCGTTGGACACACTTTGAAGCATAATTGAGTGCACTGAGGGTGCTGGTCTTGATGCAACTCTCCACCTTCTCTGTCGGGAGATACTGCTTCATTTCCCGGATCACCATCATAAGTTTCTCATGACTTTGACTACATTTTAGTTGCTCACTGCAAGTGAAACCAACGAAACAATCACCAACAGAATTAGAAATAGCCATCCCAGCAGGACATCTGTTTTCGACAGGGATAATGCTCAGAGGGCTATCCTGCAGAGTGGCTCCTTTCAATTGTGTTTTGACCTACAGGATCTGCACTGTGTTGCACATGTGCACAACAGTGGTCAAACTATGGGACCCTTTCAGCATAGTAGGAAGCAACCAGAAGCAGTCTCTGTGTAAGGCTGGCACATTCCATGCTGTCTGTTTGTCACACAGTTCCTCTTACCTCACCTAAAGAGGGAGTCCTGCAACCCTGCTGTATGTAAACAACCTGGATTTTAGACAACTTGTTTCTTGTACTGGAACTTAAAAAAGAGTTTAATTTTCCTTTCCTTAAAGAACACTTCCCTAAACTCAACTGAATGTGTCAGTGTTTCCCCTTAAAGCTCTTTATCACCTGGAATAAACAGCAATCATTTCTAATTGTATGAAGCCCACTCCCAGGGTGCTTTAGAATCTTCTGACTGGACTTTGCTTCATATTATGTAAATTACAATTGTTAAACATAAAAAAGAAGAGAGTTGCTATGATCACTCCAAGTCTTTGGAATGACTTCTCTAGTAAAGACAAGAACAAATTCCTGGAAGGATAATAAATAAAAGTTATTTGCTTTGGTTTTTGTAGAATGATGTTATCAATAGGCTGCCCAAATTTAATTTATTTGTTGTGTGTAACTTCATGTTCCAAATGTAGTTAAACCACCATGTGCAAATGAAAAGCAATATACTTAAGCAAACATGAAACTTCACAAGGCACCATATGAAAGCACTGGTTCTTAGCATCTCGGCATTTAGTACATAAGACCAACTACTAAAGCATACACGCAATAGGAAGCAATAGCCCATTGCTGGCTTTTAGGAATGTATGTGGATAGATTAGTTCAGATCAGAATCAGTACAAACCTGGTACTGGTATTAGAAACTGAATATATGAAGACCAACATTGATGCAGGCTCAAGGATTCCCACAGACTAGTACTCCTGCAGGCCTTTGGAGTGCAATCCCTGCCCTGTACAGCCCAAAGTGCTCCCCAAAGGATTCTGAGGGACATTTTGGGCTGCATGGGAGGCAGAAAAGTCATGCTCCACAGACAAATCCTTGCTTCTGTGGGAACACTAGTCAGGATCCAAGTCAGCATCTCTAACACTCCCCTATAACTGCCCGCGGTTAATGTTCTTAGAACAAAGTTAGCAGCTTTTCTTGATTTTATTTCCCCCCCCCCATCAGGTTGGGATGAAGGTGTGCTATTTAGAAATTTGTCACCAGAACTCCAGCATAGATCAGCAATGGGAATCTGTCAAAGGGAATTAAACTCAGGTCTCAGCTGGGGAGGGCAGGATGAACCCAACTGCCTGAGGATTTCAGCCCTCCTTCACACCCTCCCCTCCAGGTGACCTCTGACTTTACTTAGCATATATTCAAAAGATCTGCACCTACGAAGCCTCTTAAGATCAGGCATAGCTCCAAATGATATCTGGTTTCATTTCTTGGACCTTGATCACAGTTCAAATGCCAATTCGAGAATAATAATACAATCAACTGCTTTACCAAGCTGAAGACTTACCTGTTACTCCTGCTGTGGGATTTGTGTTGAACTCTGGTGTTTTTGACTGAGCTGTCATGAGACTCAGGGCTGTGAGAATCGGCCTCATTGAACGCCAACCCATTAAATTCATTTCCAGAGCTGCTTTTGGTACATCTGTCACAAAATATTTCTGTATCTTCTTGCTGGGTATCATCCTGATTCTCCAGACCATCTGCTTGCTGTCTGCCAGTTTCCGCTATAGTATAGTGGTCCAAGAAGTCACTGTGGAGCAGATTCACATTCATGGTGGCCAGTACACTACTACAGTATAGAGATCACAAATGCCACTGGCTGGTCCATCGTCAAATTCAGGTCCTCTTTTCTCTAGGCCAGCTTGAAAACCACAAAAATCCAACAGAAGCAATCAAGCCCTTTTATTCCATTTTTGACAAAGTACACACACGTGTACCCATTAACGGGCACAGTTCAAATAATTACTGCATCCTTCATGGTTGAAGATGATGAGTTACTTCCAGGCTTCTTTTCTATTTGGTTCCATACACTTCTCTTCAAGGCACCAAGCTTCTGTGGTGCTAACTCTTCCATCGTTTTTTCACATTAAGGTAACTGTTTCAATCCAAGCAAACATACATGTACAAGTAATAATGAGCATCATGGCTAAGTAAGCAAAACGATCACATTCCACTGCAGCACTACTACTTTGCACCACCCAAATATGAAAATTCTTAGTCACTGGTATTAGATCCTTGCATTTCCATGACCACAGCAGGACAGTTATAAGACTATCTAGGAAACTTCAGGTTAGTTTCTTTCTTAAGATCAGCCAGCTTGTTTTTGATGCAAGGATGTAAGTGAGCCCACACACTTTTCACATTCAGACCCAAAACGAGGCTGCTATCATGCAAGAGTAGCTTGACTTGTGGAACTTCATGCAGGGTGGCTATCACTTAAAGTTAGCATGTATTTATATGTCTACAGTAATGATACCTGGTTAACAGAAACTAGAACCTACTGGAGAGCTATACAATTTGGTTCCTTTATAATTAAACACAGGGCTTTGCGAATTTGCTGTCCACTACGCTAGACAAATTACACAAATGGAGGAGGAGAGAACTCAAAGCAACATGAACCTAAGTGTGTTAATGCTTATCCAGGTCTAGGCAGAGCATCTAAATTTCCAAGGCAAACCTTAAGTATTCACTTATTTTAAAAACTACAGATTATGTTGGAAAATAAGAGAGACATAAAATGCCTTCTCACTCATATGCTGTTTCAGCCTGTATAATAAATGTTTTTTAAAAAGAACCACCTGGGCAAAATAAATGCAGAGTGATTCTAGGCATGTTTACTTGTACAATCAATAGTTTTCCCTCTCCCTAGAAATCATGCTTAGGAGGATTGCAGACAAAAGTATAAACATTCCCTTACTTAGCATGTAACTTCAAGAATGTAACATCCAGCTTCTACCAGTTGAGCCCAAAAGGTCTTGTTCCTACAAGCACAAGAACATCTAAGCATTAGCTAAACCCCAGCAAAGGAGTTCTTGGGGTGGAAGATTAATTCCTTGATCTGTCTGTCACACCCCATGTATGATACTGGGAAGGTTTCCAGGCCATACAGAATGAATTCAAGAGTTTTACATGTGAAGCCTTTGTGATTCCTCTGCAAACTGCTATTCCTGGGGCAGATGCTGAACAATATCGCTTGAATTGTAGTTCAGCATCAGAAAAGTTCTATCTGGACTCTCCTCCAAGGCAAATAGAGTAGAAAGACAGTTAAAGAAAGTGCATCTGAGGTCCCTGCCACACGGGGGGAAAGGAACGGGCGAAAGTGCGGCTTTATAAAGCAGCACCAAAAGAAACACGCGGCGGCGGGATCCCATTGATCCCCTGAGCCGTGGCGCATTCCCTCCCCGGTATCTGATGCCAGGGAAAGCGACAGTGGGGAACGGCAGACTGCCGAACTGCGCATGTCTGAGCATGCGCAGTTCAGCCAGGAGCCAGGGATGCGCCGGCATAAGGACGCATCAGCGATCCCACGGCTGGCCTTGATGCGGCTGCGCTGGAAGAACCACCTCTGTAGGTGGTGTATTTTTGTTGCGCCTTTTGGGGGGTTGGGACGGATCGGGGACGGGTGCGCACCGCTTCCCAGATGTTGCGGTGAGATCGCGCCCGTTTGCTCCGCCCCCAATCCGTCCCTCTCCCGGGCCAAATCTTTACGTGTGACCGGGGCCAATGGCACCCAATCACAGAGCCATTCTTCACTACAAGCACACACCTATGCTTAAGTTCCTCCCCTCCACCCCACACACAATTACATAAGTGTCTAAAACATGTTCCCCATTGACACACAACCTGAAATTCTGCTTCTTGGCTCACTGCCATTCTGCCAAACCCAAACATTGTACAAACACAGGCAAAGGAACACAACGTTCCGTACTGCACACGACTGTGGATGTTTGCAATGCCAACTTGAAGCGAACAAAGCCATAATGAAAGAAAAAAGTAGTCAAATAACAGCTTTACTGGATAAGCACCTTTTTGGGGACGAAAGAAGCTTTTGAGCCTCACAGAGCTTTTTCTTGAGGCTCATTCTTTAGTGCTGAGACTCCACTAGTCAAAAGAACACATTGGCAACTGTGCTTTTTACTGGGTGTACAAACACAGCCAAAAGACAACATTTGAGTAGCTTATGGGAAGGCATATCCCTCTCCCAACAAACCCCTCACTGCTTTAGAGCTGAGGAGGCATTATGGAATAGGACCCGACAGTCAAGCAGTGTAATGTTAAAGTCACAGGAACAAAGACACCTGTGCTTCAGGTGTTTAACACCTGCCCACTTACGGTCAACCCAGCCTTGTGATTCCTCAGCAAAGGGAGCACTTAAGGTCTTGTTTGAGCAGCTTCCCTTGCAATCGCTTTGGTAGTGTGTGAGGCTGTGTACAAGCACCAATCAGTATGCCAGCACCTACACACCAGTGATGCAAATGCAGGTGTCTCAACTCCTGTCTGCAATGGTGGTGGCTTGAAAGAAAGTTGGCTGCATACACAAAACTCACATGGAGATGCATGGAGAAAAAAAATGCATGAATCTGTAAACCTAGATGCTGCAAACTGTATGGACAATGCCTCAAGTGAAACCAGCCCTTCAATACAGTAAGCTGCTCAAATGCCAGGTGGAATACAGAAGGAAATACCCCCCCCCCAATGAATCTACATGCTGGTCACTCACTACCTAATCCCGCACGCACAAAGAGGGAAAAATAGCCCCAGCTAAAAAAAGTATGTTTCACAAGTATCCCAATAAAGGTTCTCAAATTAAGAACTATGGAAATTAATCCAGCACATACTAAATACATTTCTCTTTAAGTCAAATAAGATTCAACATGCACTTCCAATATATTCATTTCCATTAAGCGTCCTGCAAAACAGGGCTTGCTTCATATTATTTATTATACCGGTGAGCTCAAGTCAATTTTTTAGGTTAGTAAGTTTTGGGAACTTATCTGCAGGGTACCTCCAACAGCTCCTCTGAATGAGCACTGTTTTGACTTCCCAGTGGACAGCAAGCATTAGCAGAAAATGTACTTCACTATTTGATGTGGCAAGGCATGGCCAAGCACCTAAAGACCACTTGGATAAATGACTACTCTTTAAGAGTTACCATGACTCTGAAAGCAGCAATAGGCAAACAGCAATTGTGTCAGTGATAAGGGAGAAAATGATGGAAAACCTTTACAAAGACTCAAGAAATATCCTGTTACAGCGTGGAAAACAGAACTCACTTAAAACCTACACATCCAAACTCTAGGATACACCTGCATCATTATGACCCAACACTGCAATAGGTATAGCAATTGTTTTTTTAAAAAATAAAATAAAATAAAATCTGGTGTGGAATGTTAGGTATTATTTTTGTATGCCCCCCCAAGGAGCAAGGAATCAGTAAGATAAAGAGCATAATATCGTCACTAGCCACCACTGTAGTACTAAATATGAGGGAGAAAAATCAAGACTATTAAACAAAACCATCCCACTGCCTAAGAGCTAAGTGGAAAATGCAAAACAACTCGTGGGCTATGAAAGGCTACGCTAAAGTGTGAAGAGACAAGAACTGAGAAAGGGATTGGGGCAGGGGAAGAGATAGATATTCTGACCACGCGGAAATAATGCATGATGGTGGGAGGAAGACTGGTCTGGAACTCAGGGGGGAACTTTCAGAGAGCGAGAAGTGGTGTGTGCGCAGGGGGCATGTATTGCCCTAAAATTTACATTGGTTACCCGAAGCGATGACAACCCACTCCAAGTCCCCGTAAGGGGGAAGGCAACATATACATTAACCGATTCCATTTGTCTAGATTTTCTCTCACGTGGCGTAAGTAATGTGGGTAGCAGCGTTGGTTTGCAGCAGAAGAGCAAGATTCGAGTTCCAGAAGCACCGCGATGACCAACAAGACTTGAGCTCCCGAGTCAAAGCTCCCTTTAGCTTTGGTAACAGACGAAGGGGGCTTTCGACTCTCGAAAACTCAGACCCCGCGGGTTTCTACGGCGCTCCTGGACTCGAACCTTGCTCCATCACACGGCCCAGCCGAAAGAGTCTCCAAAGACACCCCCCCCCCCCCCAGCCACGACCCCTTACCTCCCCCTAGGCGGCTAGTCCTCAAGGCCTACCTCCCCGCCCACAAAGGACGCGGCTTTGTTTTGGCTGACAGGCTAGGCAAAGACTACAAGAGGGAAGCAGGCTCCCCCGTGCAGGAAGGAGGAAGCGGAGTCCGCTGTCGACCGGAACACAGTCGCTCGCCCCGGTCGTCCTCCGTCCTCTCACACGTCCACACACATCCGCGCAACGTGACACGAGCTCCGCCCCCCCTGCCCGGCCGTTGGCCCACGCGCCGGCTGGAAAGCGCCGATTGGCCGGCCGTGCGCGCGGGGCGCGGCAAACCGCCCCTCGGCTTCTATTGGCTGCAAGTAGAAGCGGCCTTGGTCGTTCGCGTGCCCCTGCCCTTAGGCCCCGCCGCTCCGCTGAGGGAGAAACGCCTAGGTCAGCGCGAGCCGAGCGAAGATGGCGGGGGAGGTGGTTTGGCTCGCTTGCCACGCTAAGGGAGTTGGGGCGCTTCACCTGTTGAACTCAAGCCTACCCCGCCCTTTTGGCCCTCAATATTGTCCCTATTTCTCTCATCCAGCCGCTCCCTTCGTGAGGCTCCAGGCGAATCCCGCCAGTCCTCTCGTTCTTATCAGCCTAAGGTAACTGCACCCTGTGTGGAACAAAGTTTTGAGTCCAGTGGCACCTTTAAGACCAACAAAGGTTTATTCAAAGTGTAAGCTTCAGACAAATTGGAATGAAATCTCCTCAAGGGCCACTTACAGGGAAAAAATGGGGGTGGGGGGCAGCTGTGGTGCAGGAGAGGGAGTTCTTTCACATCAGCCCTCTGTTCTTCCAATAAAAAATTGGACCACGCGCATCAGATTGGTATAATGCACTTTTAATTAAAAAATTACAACCCTTCAGGGGCATTTTGTGGCACACTTCACCTTAAAGCCGAGCAGTACTTTTCAGTCAGTCACAAAAATGCGGTGCTTTAATCCTGTGACAATTCCTTTCTGCTTCAGAGCTTGGGTAAGACCTTTAACAGTAAGGCAATAAGCAATGCTTTGTCCAGTCAAAGTACTGACAGCGACATCTGAACAATCATTCACTGGTACAGGAGAGCAAAACCTTGAGACATTTTAAAGTTACACAACAGTGTTTTAAGAAAAAACAATACAAACCAGCAGATTGTACAAATATTAAGCATATGCCCAATACAACTTGAAAGGTGGTGCTTGTACATTCACAAACTGTGCAGTAGTATGTGAGGTGTATTATGCTGTCCACTCCTCCCTTCCCCATCTCTTGCAAGCAAAAAAAGCTCCATCACTTTTCATGACAAATATGAAAAATAAGACAAAAAGGATGCACTTATGTAAGTTTGGCCATGTCAGTAGGGTAGATTTGACAGCCTTTCAGAAGAGCCATCAATGCCTGCAAGCTTTAACCCAGGACCAGGGAGCCAGAACAAAACCCAAAAAATCTCAGAGAAACACAAGAGAAAGGGGAAGAACCCCACCCACTAAACATTGAAGTGAAAGTGAGGCAAGAGCGAGGCACACGATTAAGGGACCTTAGCTCATACAGAAGACTGACACAACCAGTGTAAAGTGACAACGATGACACTAATGTTTCATCACCAACCTGTCCTACATTATCTGAAAAAGGTGGACGTGTATGTCTCCCTGGGCAATTCAAGCAGAAAAGATACAAAGGAAGTCCAAATGCATTTAACGTTACTTTTTAGCAATACTTCTTGGTAAGTTAAGAGAATTTCAGAATTTTAAAAAGTTAAGAACACTTTATGGTGCTTGTTCAAGTGCAAAGCGTAAAGGCACCAAGAAGTGATGGTTTAACACAAGGAAGATCATGCTTTTTTGTCCCAAATACTTTTCATACACCACTGTGATTAAGTGCTCGGTTCATCAGACTTCACATCTTCATTTAAAAAGCACAGTGCTTGTTGTATAGTAACTTCTAGTCCCTCCCAAATTAGATGAGAAGGCATTAAGGGAAAAGTTGTTCAAATATGGCACTACTGTGGGTAAGAGAAACCTCTGCCCAGGAAGGCACAAATATGAGTTGGTTTGCAACCCTTTAACATATCATGTAGGAGGCGAGGTAGTGACAATATACTTGTGAGTTTGTAAAATACATTCCAGAAGTAGTAAGTACTGTCAGAACACTCTCAATCACAAAATTCTGAAGTCTTAGACTTTTTCCTACCTGGTTTACACGTATCTTAACTCAGGCACTTTTAACAGCATTTACAAAATAGAGTGCATCATTTATATAAAGGCACATAATCTACAGAAAAGTTAATACTTTCACTATCAAAAAAAGTGTCTGATTTGTGCAACCGGAAGAAGCTTGGCAATACAGCAAGTCTGACGTAAGAGACGAGTTTCCTCACTGAAACAGCTGTGTCAAATTCAGGGTTTCTTCCAAAACCTCATGAGGACACACTCCAAACTACATTAAAAAAAGATGTTTGGGGATATTAATTTTATTTCTTCAGATGGGAATAATACAGTAGAACAAACCCAAATAATCATGTGTGCTTTGCAGAATAAGAACATAAGTAGAGCCTGCTAGTATCCTCTTTCACAAAGGCCAACCAGTTAACTCTGGAGGACCAAACACAGAGGGCATAGAGGCTGAAGAGTTCCCCTGATGCTGCCTCCTAGTACTGGTACTCAGCAGTTTGCTGTTGTTGTACATGGTGGCTTCCTTTCCTCCATGAATATGTCTAATCCCTTTTTAAAGCCACCACTATATCCATCGACAAGGAATTCCACAGTTTAATGACTCACTGAGTACAATAGTATTTTCCTTTTGTCTGTCCTGAACCTATTTCCCAACAATTCCATTGGGTGTCCCCTCTGCCCAAGTTCTAGTATTACGGGAGAGGGGAGAAACAGCTCTATCCATGTATAATTTTATAAACCTCTACCATGTCTGAGTTGAATATGTAGTAGGTCTAGCATAAAACCTCTTAGTGTATGTATATAAAGACCTTTTTACTCCCTAAAACACAGAAATGTGTTCCTTTACAGGATCCAACCATTAGAAACCCATCAGCTGGCATATGGTCTAACAAACTCCTCGCTACTATGATGAACAGTGGTGTAGACTGTAGATAAAAATCAAGGGCTGCAGCTTGGGGCCACATAGCCTTGGTTCCCGATTAATGAAGGTGCAATGAAAGAAGAAAAGAGACTCCAAATCTGGGTCGTCTCCTTGGTTTACAGTCCACATCTGCATACTTACCGATTATGATGATGATGAGAATGACAACAACCGTTATCAATATGGCCCACATCTGGTAAGGGGAAAAAGTTTTTTTTACTCTCTCAGAACTTTTTTATTCTCTCAGACCAAGTTACTTTAGATTTGGAAAATACACTCCAGTTTTGTCTTTTACAGTACTGTAAACTTTAAAAAGTCTTTAATCCAAAGGTTTCTGCTGTCAGAAGGAACTGCTACCAATGGAAGGAAATTTCTCCTGAGTTGCCTGCCTCCCTCTTCCCATTGAGCTCCACAAAATGTCACTCCTAGGGGATGGGGACCCTCAGGAGCACTAATGGGCAAAGTATAATCACTCCCACCCCTTCCACTAGCAGAAAATGGGAGTGGCTGTGGCTCAGTGGTAGAGTATCTGCTTGACATGCAGGAGGTCCCAAGTGCAATCTCCAGCATCTCTGGTTAAAAGGACCAGGCAGTAGGTGAAGTGAAAGATCTCTGCCTAAGACCCTGGAGAGCTGCTCCCAGTCTGAGTAGACAATACTGACTCTGATGGACAAAGGATCGGATTCAGTATAAGGCAGTTTCATGTGTGTTCAAAGTGATCATGGATTCTACCATAATCTTGCAATATTTCAGTAGAAGAGAGAAGTATTGGTTCACAGTAAGGAACATTCTGATTTCTAGATCCCAGAGAAAAATGACATTGAGGTTTGTAATTTGACTGTGAAAAAGGATTTAAAGGGGGGGGGGGAGCAATACACCCACTGAAGGCCGTATAACATCACAAAACAATCTAGACATTGCTAAAGATGCAACTTTGAAGTCCTCATAATCAATCTTACTTCAGATCTTGAAAATGTAAGCATTCGTTCATAATGAGCGAAACCAGTTGGTCCCTCCCTTCTCTGGCATTCTGACTAAAAGGTATAGGGATACTTCAATGGATGGGAGTGGGAGCCACTTAATCATTCACAGGTGTTGGAGGGGGACCCATTAACTAACTTTGATATATTTGACAGTTCAAGTGCACAGACAGGTGGTATTACCTTACAGTTCTTCCACCAGTATTTTCTTTTCAGTTTGGCAGCATTTGTTTCAAATTGGGCTGCTCCAGCTTGCAAGGCATCAGCACGGTCATCCAACTCAGACAACTTCTGATCTCTTTCCAGAACTTTGTCCACATTCACTCTCATGATATCCACCACCTAAAACCAGAGAGCCCACACTATAAGTAAGGGTTTGGTCATACCTCTGAGATGATTTCTATTTGCAGCATTTTCAATTTGCAGCAATTTTCAATGCTGCAAAGCCAGCACACAGGTGTTAACATGATATCTGAATGGGCAAAGGAGGTTTTGGATGTTTTTCACCAGGATTATGAAAACCCTGGTTTAATCTCCAGACAGCCTTGTATGGTCCAGGCTAGTCTAATCTCATCAGAACTTGGAAGCTTAACAGGGTAGGCCCTGACCAGCTTGTGGTGGAAGGCAATCACAAACCATCTCTGAACCTCTTCAAAACCCTATGGGTTGCCATACATTTGCTACAGCTTGATAGCACTTTCTACAGCTAATCTTCATCTTGGCCCAAATGGCTTACTCAGGATATAATTCTAAATTCGGTGGAGATCCAGACTGCTCCCAGGTAAGAACAACCACAGCATGGAGCAAGATTTAAACTTGCAACATGCTTTTTTCTCTAGTTTAGATGGTTTGTCATCTCAGTTAGTACAGACATCTGACCTCCCTGTGTTATGATGTGTCAGACTTGGATGTCAAAATCCTATCCTGTGTTAAATGAAATGACAAAATGTTTGCAGAATTTTGTTTTATTTCTTATTTTATTATAACATGGGGGGGGGAAGACAGAGAGAAGCACCAAAACCTTCCTTTCCAATCACCATTTGTCTTTTGAAGCTCAGGCAGACAACGCACAACAGAAAAAGCAATTTGTTTGGCACTTAAAGAGAGACCACCACCTCACATGTACAGGAACTACATCACCTCTGAAAGTACACACTTTGTGCGAAATGATACCCCTCTCCCATCCAAACCACAGCATAGTTGATATTGCACAAATAAATCATCTTGCAGCTTTATGTAATGAAGCAACTGGGGAGCAAAAGCTATTGAGAAGTTCACCAACTCCATTCATCATTGAAGAAGAAAAATCATTCCACTTTTATTATCCCTGTAAGCTCGAAGGAGCAACACAAGACAAGCTCACCTCATTGACTTGGCTTTGAGTCTGCTGAAGACGACGATTGCTGCCAGAAGCAGGGCCAGATCCGGTGGGACCACTAGTCGACCTGCAGTACAGAAGCCGACTCCTTTTAAGCCAGGATTGTACAAGCACAGCAGCAACAGCCAAGTGCTATTCTGCTTTCAAATGAACTTCATTTCCAGTCCACCTTTCTCATTGGGACTCAAGGCAGACCATAAGTATAATTTAAAAGACCTTTCAATCAATCAGTAAACAAGATTATAAAACATGATAACATTTGACTCTAACAAAAAAATGCCTAGAAAGACAAAAAAATACATTTGGGCTAGGATAGTAGAATGTGTGTGGGAGGGGGGACAACCAGAACAATGCATGTAAACATATCTTTTTATGGCAACAGGACAATCAGGATAGGAAATAATTTATCCCTAATATAAATGACCTCCTGAGTGGAACCGTTTCTCCACAGTTTCTCTCCTAAAAGAAAGCCCCCTGGATTTTGTTTTTCACATTTTATGGACCGACAAAGGCATGGGGGCCACCACAGAGAATGCATGTACATGGGTAGCTGTTAATTTTTTCTGTTTGCAGGACAGCAACTTCAAAAGGCTTACAGGCTGAGATTTAGATCAGCACAGACACTCTCCCCATCCCAGCATGTTAACATAGCTGCATGTTCATCATTTCACTGCTAACTTACTTTCATTTGTCATAACTCTGGCTCTATGAAAAGAACAACCCATTAGAAACAACTAGATTAGTGGTGGCGAACCCATGGCATTGGTACCAGAGGTGGCGTTCAGAGCCCTCTCTGCGGGCACACGTGCCATCACTCCAGCCAGGCTTAGACCATCATTAAAGTGTGGAATTCTCTGCCAAATAATTTTAAGTAAATGAAAGCATTTGAGATTGCTTTCCTTACTTTGTTTGGATCATCTTATGTTAATGTATGAGTTGTCTTTTCTAAACTAAAACCTCAGTATTCAGGTTAAATTGCCGTGCTGGCACTTTGCGATAAATAAGCAGGTTTTGGATTGCAGTTTGGGCACTCGGTCTCTAAAAGGTTCACCATCACTAAACTAGATGAAGAGTTAGAAGTACTGTATTCCAGAGTGTGGCATCAACTGTCCTCAATACCTGCTCGATATACCGCCTGACATACCAGCTTCCTATTAGAAGATACTATACAAATCAGTGAAAATGTGATGCTCCTGAAAGGAAGGGGTGAACCACTCTGAGGAGTTATGCCACGACAGAAGAAGCTGCCAAACAGTCAATGCTTCAGCAGCAATTTTTAATTGCACCCTGCAGTGTTCCATTCCAAACCCTATCCCCTCTGGAAATCGAAGTCTTCTTAAATACGGTAGCCTGGTTTACAAATGATTTTTGTTTGTCAGTTACACACCACTTAAAATAGGCTGGGCATAAGCTGTTGGTGACCAAGAGGTGGACCCTTCAAGAAACCCACGCATGATCAGTTTGGGAAACTGTAGTTCTCCACTGCAAAGAGAAAGTGAAAGTGGTGAGAGACAAGTATATCACTGCTGCTAGTTGCAGGATATTTTAGCCCAGTTCATGGCTGCCTCATACATGAAACAACAGTGTCCACCTTTCCAAGGATGTACACCGTTTTATGTGGCGATCACACCTGGGCCTGTTTGCTGCCAACTATGGTTTTATGCCCATAACATACCTGGCATAATGGACACCTGAGATCTTCACACATGGCTGTGTACACAGGTTTCTCCCTACAGCTTGCAGGGAAAGCAGCATATGTGAAGCAGCCCTGGTTTTCTTAAGAATGCCACACAATTAAACTATTCATCAGCACCAGTGCTGTCAGAAGTTAAAAGTCCCCAAAGATCCACCAACAGACCAATCATTTGGGACTTCATATAGTGTTTTTGTTTATTCCTTAGTCCCTGCCTGTTGGTTCACAGATAAAGAAGGGGACCAAAAATCCAGGGTTCCACCTTACCTATCTAGAATCCATCCAACCATTTAAACTATGCAAAATAAAATCTGAGGATATTTGCCCTTTTTTACAGTCAGATCTTCAAAGGCTGTGAACTAACTACAAGACAGTCTTTAATCAGAAGTGCCATGCAGCCAAGTTTAGCAGCCTCCACTTGTGCTGACTTTTAATGTAAATCTCCCCAAATGGGAACACTGTCAAGTAAATCTCTGTCAATGGCTAAACTAAGAGCCTGGAGGTGAACATAGCAAAACAATGGTCACTGGGAGATGTAAACTGACATGCCACAGCTTGTAATCAAACAAGAAGACAAGATGCTGAAGCCAACTACGGTTTGATATATTTGAACTGACCTGCCATAGATGCAGCCCTTGCTCTGCCTCCAGGGGCCCAGGACACTTAGGAAAGTTGCAAAAAGAAAGCAGGTACCAAACCAATTTGCCTACTGGCTACATCTGAAAGCTCAAACTAGGGTTTAAAACTCAAAAACTATGGGATATGCAGACTACGAATCAGTGTGATGCATTAACTAAGCAGGTATTTCCACAGCGGCATGAAGGGCTCTCACTCTCTCAGCGCTGAAGGCAATTCCACCGTTAGCCACACTGCCTTAAGGCCCAAAACGAAACCCAGGTAGTATCTTTTATTAAGGCCAACCAAAACCACCTTGTGCAAGTCTGGCCTCCAGCACTTAAGGTTTGGGTTAGAGAAGGGTGTGTGTAATCTTTAAGGCCACGCCTCTTTTAACATCCACACTGAGGAAGTGCTCCGGGGAACTCGAAAACTTGCAATAACAGTTTGGCGCAGATTTGGTACAACAAACTGATATGGCCTGTAATTTTTTTTTTTACTATTTTAAAGCCAGCTGGACGCTTCCTACAAGGCGCCGCTGGTGGCCCGGTTTGAAAAACCAAACCGGGAGCTCTCCATTCAGCGCCCAGGAAATGCCAATCCCTGCCACCGAAAAAAGGGACTACCCGACGGCCCGGAGCCTCGGCCAAGCCATGAGCCTACTTGCTGGGACCAACGCAGTCAAGAAAGCGGAAGGGTGCCGCCCATGAATCCAACAGGACAAGCGGCTGGCGGAGCGTGGAATGCGCCCCCCTCCCCCGGCTGTGAATCTTTCTCGGCACCGGGCAGCGCGCGAAGGCGGCCTTGCCCCGAAAACCACCCCCTCGACGGGACTCACATGTTGGCGGCGGCAGCGGCGTTACAACTCTCTTGCAAACGGGCGGAAACCACTCCCAGCACCGCCAAGGCCCTTTTGCACCGGCCAGAGCGCTGTCGGGGCGGGGCTCCGGGGAGGAAATTTTGCGCCGCTAGGCAGCAGTAACCCTTTGCGCGCTTGCCGAGACGTTGAGCCACAGGCCTAACTTTGGAGGAGGAGGGGACACATACACGGACCTCACGGAGGCCGCTTTGCCTGGTGAAAACTCCGTTGCATCCACCGCGGGGCTGTATTACTTCTTGCTACCGGCATAAACGACCGGAGTGTGTATGTATGAAAAAGATCCTTGCTCGTAGAAATCGAGGAGAAGAGATGTTTTAGCCTGGCTCTCCGCGCTAATTTTGTCTCGGAACATTTACTGTCATGATATCAACTACTATTTCGTTTTCCTAGCTTCACAAAAGCGGTTTACTAAAAAAAAAGAGGATTGAAACATTCAAAAAGTATTTAAAAATTTAAAACACCAGTATTAAAATACAGATGATTTCTAATGTAGTAGTTGCAATAAAACATACAAGCAAAGGCAGCATGCATTTATTTATTATTAGTCGCCTTTCTCCCTTGTGGAACTCAAGGCGGCTTACAATATAAAAGCAACAATAAAAACAAACGGTGCGGCAGTAGAAGCATAATATAGAAACAGCAACAGGCAAAAAACAGTTATTGACAATTTCAGCAGACCAAAATGAAATTAAAAGCCCTCCAACCCCCCGCCCCCCCAAGTCAGTTAAAATCCTAGAGAAGCCATTCTTGAACTGGTGATTTGGGTATATTCCCATTGGCCAGGCAGGAGGAAGTTTAGGGTTACTGCTGACATGCTAGCTTTCTGTGTACAGGGACATTTTTGGTAAGTCAGAGCATTCCAACGTGTGAGCCCCTTCCAGCAGTTTGAGACAAGTACTATGTTGACCACTGCAATGAGTTTAATTCAGTGGGCTTCAACCTCTCCCCTTATAAACAATGGGTAGTTAAAGTGCTGCATCTGCTTGGTCAGATATCTGCTCCTCCCCTAATATCTGTGTGATTTAGTTTGGTCCTATTGGGTGCATCTGTTGTTCAGTTTTTAGTTTTGAAAATATTTTTTATTTTAGAAAACAAGATAATAGTAAAAGGGATACAAGAGAAAGAAAAGGATTATATAACAAGAAAGGGGTTATATAACAGGCCATATATATCAAGGATTATTACAAATTGCAAAATATATCGAACAAGATATAAAAATTATTTCTCCCCAACATATCCTTCATCACAATTTTGGGACATTTTATTTAGAGTGCAATGATCTTACTTCAGACATTTTAAAATTCAAAATTTATAATTGAGCTATTTTGTACCTATATTATTAATTTCATCATTACTGCATATTCTATATTGCATATGTAATAATTTCTTCTTACTATCTAACTTTTAATATAGGAACATTTAAGAAAAAATCAATTATATATCTCACAATAAAGAGGGAAGAATATTTTGTTCCAAATCTAGTTCTGTATACATTTATAATCAGAACTTGTTCTCACGGTTTCCAGTTTTGTATGTTAGCTGAAGTTGTTGGTTGTTCCAGTTGTCTCAGGTGCCTAAGTGAGTACCCTAACGTGGGAATCCACAGCCAAAGGGGGACTTTACCGCCTGGTTGGCTCAGACCAAAGATCTACTTCAGCAACCAGCATGGTGTATACCACTTTGGGTCTCATTGGGGAAGAAAGGAGGGCATAAATATCCAAATAAAATAAACTCAGTCTGTAGTAGTTTAATTATGAACAGTAAAATGGGTCTGTGTGCTAGGCATATGTGCCAAAGGTGCAAATCTTTTTGCTTAAAACAACAAGGGAGAATCTTTAACCTCATTGCTGTAATTAATGAGAGGTGCAAAAGAGTAACCACAACAACACACAGTTTTTCGCAGTTTAATCTTGAACATATTCCAGAGTGGAACTTGAACCCTTTGTGAAGCATCTCCTCCTGCCCCTCCCTGCTGAAATGGCACTGCTGTGTTGCTCGTTAAGTATCATAGCTCAGCTGTTTTCTTAATCCTCTGTCTCCATAGTTATCAGTCAAAGCTTCTCAGGACACAGCACTCATAAGGATGTATGATACAAGAATTGGAAAAAGAGACCACTTCCAAGGATGTGCCAAGGCCTTCGAGTCTCCCAGAGAAAGGCTGGCTGTAAATAAAGTAAGTAAATAAATTCTTTCCTAGACAGGGTGTTTGTGTAAGAAATTTCACAGGTGAACCCTTTTGTGACATGGAGAAAGCTTGGACTGCTGAGTTTCTGCTTGTTCTATATTTTCCAGTCTCAGGAACTAAGCCAGGAAAAAGGGTGGCCATGCTGAACCACAAACAGAGGGCATTCCATTTGCTCCTGAGGTCCATGGGCCTTCCAGGCAGGTTGTGGACCTGCAGCCCTCTGTCTGAAAATACTTGCCGCGAAGTACCCAATAAAGGCCAAGGGTATTTCTATGACCAGTGGCAACCTGTGTGATATAGTGGCTAGAGTGCTAAACTTGGAGTGGCAAGACCTCCATGGTGCTTGGTTTGAAATTTACCAGGTAAACTTGGACCAGTCATTCTCTCAGCCTAACCAACTTATAAGGTTGTTGTGGAGATAAAATAGAAGAGGGGAGATCCATGTATGCTACCTTGGATGAACGGCAGGATAAAAAGTACTTAACAAAGGATTGAGCAGGCATGCGGATGTGAAGCATTCAAAGGTGTCACATTTTCAACTAATTGTATTGCTATTCCATCTCTCCCTGACAAAAGAGATTGTGGGGACATTCCAGTGTGTGTGCATAAAATATTAAACTATCTTTAATGTGGCCTTATCCATGCTAGCCTGATCTTATCAAATCTTGGAAGGTAAGCAGGTTCGGCCCTGGTCAGTACTTGGATGGGAGGCCACCAAGGAAGCTCATGGTCATCATATATCAGCTGTGACTTTATGGCACTTTACACATATAGTGGGGCACCTTTGCAGCTGAAATCAGTAGCATTACTTCAGATGTTGTTTGATTATTGAGGGTTTACTTCTTTCAGGATTATGGGTACAGGGGTTGGACTAGATAACCCTTGAGGTCCCTGCCAACTGTGTGTTTCTATACTTCACCTTAAAACTGTGATTTGTGTGTCTGTTAAGCAGAATGCTTGTATTTTAAGAATGAATTAGCTTGTTAGCTGATTTCAGCTTGACAGATGCTACTTGCGCCTACATTTTGTGGAGATTGCCTGATGCTGTAAGAGCTTGTATGGCAATCCCATCCCCTTTAAATCTTTTGGATGATTTATAAAGTCTTTCTATTCAAACAGGTCTTCAGGTGAGGGCTTGGAACATTCCTGTTGATTGAGAGCTATATTCTTTTAAGACAAAATTGTTGATCTATGTTTGTTGTCATTACTGTGCAAATGAATTGCTCTGTGTCATTTAAGCTGTACTGAAGGGTATAAATGGTTCAGTGCATAATTTTAAAATGAATCGCAGTGCTACAGAGACCTCTCTGTGCCATTGTAGCTATCTTTGTGGCAAATCCACATCAGGTGGTGACTGGGGCAGAGGTGGTGAACAGTGGCAGCGCTTCCAACAGAGGTGAGTTGGAAAATGCACAGGGAGAACCGACAGCTAAGTGGCAATGGACCAAAAAGAGTGACAGAACCAGCAGGGTGTGGGGAACTGAGGTGGTGAGTGCATGTCATTGTATTTGCTGCTCTCAGGTGTTGGCCATTTCAGAAGAGGGAGATCAAGGCAGATTACCATGCCTTCCCTCCAAGACACCCTCGAATGGGTGATAAATATACAGTCCATACACCTTCCGGGGAAACCCTTGCAAACCAGCCAGCTCCAAGTGGGTTGACTTGCACTCTTTCTTGGGATTCATTCTGCACAACCAGACTTACTTCAGCTTTCCTATCAGTGTCCCAGCTTTTCAGGAAGCCCACACGGTTCTGGTTTGCTTCCTGAAGAATGCTGCAGATCAGGGGTCATTTCTTACAGGAGCGCACAGGGACAGAGCTCCGGCAGTAAAGAGACCAGGGGGCGGGTACATGCAACAAGCCCCGCCCCCTGCTCCCAGCAGCCCTTAGTCAGAGCAAGAAGCAGCCAGGTAAGTTGCAGAGCTCCAGATAGCAATCCAAAACAGTCCAGTGGCACCTTTAAGGCCAAGGTTTATTCAGGTACAAGCTCTCCCTCCTCTGTGAGGGCAGATCTGTGTGTCCCCCCCCCATACCTACCAATCCAAAAGAGTCCAGTGGAGCCTGAGTGGTGTGTGTTGCCTTCTGACACACTTCCGGTGATGCCAGGGGGTGTGGCATATGCAAATAAGCTATGCTAATGAATTATGCTAATGAGCTCCTGCACCTCTTTTTCTATGAAATGACCCCTGCTGCAGATCCATCATTTTGCAAAGATGGAACAGAATATGTTGGTTAAGGGTGCAGTGCTAAATCTCTATGCTGCTGTAATTTGGAGACACATGGGTGTCCTGGTGTGATGCTCCATTGGTGTCATGCTGGTGTATACTGTGCTGGCACTGTCCTGCTAGAGTAGTGACCAAAAATGTACTATGTGGGGTGTGCGCGCGTGCTGGAGAAGAAGAATCTTAAGCTCCTCAGACCGCATCCCACCCCTTGCACCAGCATACTATGTCTGCAGAGACACTGGTGTTTGTTTAAACATACCCACTACACTCAATGGGAGAGGGGAAAACCTGCTTTCCTTGCCTCCCACCATGACTTACAGCCACTGCACAGCTCGGGCTACCCACTAAGTCTGCAGCCAGTCACAGCTCTCCTAAACACTACATAAACCCACATGACAGGACAGGCAGGATGGGATTAATTTTCTCTGGCCATACGTCTGGCATATTTAGGGCATACTTCCACACACAAATGAGGGAGGGGGCTTTGATCATGGGAACTCTTGAAAGGGGTACTTTGCACAGGAACCAAGGAGGAAAACAAATATTGTTTCAGCATATTGCTGACACTGCTCTGCTCTTATTGTGGGATATAAACACTGGCCTGGGCTTTCCACTCCTCCAGTTGA